CAGTTCAATTATATCACTAAAACATAGATAGCTTGGTTAATTTGTACTTGATGTGGGTACGAGCCTCCATCCAAATGTCGTTAACTTTTTTTTTTGAACCGTTGACAAGCTGAATTGCAACAGATATTAAACCTCCATTACATTGGAAAGCCACAATTCGCTAGAGCGACAAAAGCTTTTTTTGTTGGCTGCTTGAAAAAATATCATTATCATCATCCAAGCCATATTTACAATTATTTGGGATTGGCTAAACGGATTATGTTAAGTCATTCTACTTTATGAAGGGCCACATCCTAACTCAGTCAGACTACATGTCAGCATATCTCCTGTCATTACTCATATCCATATGTTTTTGGGCTCTCTTTGCCCTCTTAGAGCCTTCCATTTGAAACCAGTGGTTTAAAAAATTGATCGGTGCCCAAGATCGGGCACCCAAAAAACCCATCCGGATTAGTGAATCGGCAATTCGGATCGAGAATCGGCTGAATCAATCGGATTCTGCTTTAAAAATTCCAAAAACATTATAAAAAATCATTATAAATGTTGTTTTTTTTGGGAATCCAATATGAAATGGGGGTACTACATTAATAACTTTAATTTTTTTGTATCAATATGTGAATATTTTACTTAAGAATCAATCTAAATGTATAATTTTAAAAATAAAACCAATCTAAATGTCTTATAATATCATCGAATTTAAAAAATGTTATTTACAACTATAATAAAAATAATGCATTACATAATTTATAATGTAAATAAATTAATAAATAAAATATAAGACTTGGTTATCAATGTATAGTTATTAATTATAATATTATAACAAAAGTGATTAAAAAAATTATTAGAAAATACTTCTATATCATATGATTAAAAATAAAAAATAAAACTCCCAATAAATTTTACTGTCATGATATTAAAAAAATTCATTGAGAAAAAAGAAAAATAAAGATATCAAAATTCAAAAATATAAAAAACACATATCGACAACATGCACAATAGCTGTAAATAATATAATAATAATGATATGGTAATAAACCCTACCGAAAAAACTATTTTACTAGTAACTAGCAACAAAATATATGTGGCTGTTTTTTATTTTGGCACGGTACCATTTAATTAAAAAAATGTGTTGATGAGGCAAATGACATGTTAATTTCGGATCAAGACATGCTAAGGTTTATAAATTAATGACACTCTTATTTAAAATGACACACTAAAGTTCATAAAATTAATGACATCCTCATTTAATATGTACACTAATATAAAATGAAGGTTACGAGGTAAGCTATTATAAAATGACTGGTTGCAAGTGACTTTAATAGGCACGCTCAAGTCATTTAATAGGCACGCCAATTTGACTGGTTGAGGCCCGCTCAAAGAAAGGAACAAAGATTGTCCCACATTGAAATTGCAAGGAAGGTTAAGTTAATATAAAATGAAGTTTACCGGTTAAATGCACACGAGCGTGTCATGTGGAAGCCGCTTTATTGAGTTTGCGAGACAGGATTTATTGTGTCTAGATCATGATGCTATCAATACGAATCGTGCGATGTTTTTAATTCAAAATTTTAAAATAAATTGCCCGATTTATTAAAAACAATATCTTTTAGGTATTTTTCGGCTATCAATCTTAACTACTTCATTGCTTCTACTTCTATTATTACTAATTTTATATTTTATATATTCAGTCTTACTGCGGTTAATTTTAAAACATTTAGATTTTAGAGCATTCTTCAAAAGTTCTAACTTTATGTTGATGCAAATTCCAGTTTTGTCAATCAAAACTATATCATCCACGAATAACATACATCACAGTACTTCATCATTTTATATATTCAGTCTTACTGCGGTTAATTTTAAAACATTTAGATTCTAGAGCATCCCTCAAAAGTTCTAACTTTATGTTGATGCAAATTCCAGTTTTGTCAATCAAAACTATATCATCCACGAATAACATACATCACAGTACTTCATCATGTAGATGTTGAGTTAACTCGTATCTAATTAAAACAAAGAGATATGGGCTCAATGTTGACTACTAAATTCGATGTGGTCAGCCACGAATAACATACATCACAGTACTTCATCATGTAGATGCTTAGTTACCTCGTATCTAATTAAAACAAAGAGATATGGGCTCAATATTGACCATTGAATCTGATGTGGGTCTACTATCACTAAAAACTCACATGTCTTTCCATTAGATTGTCCCGACGCTAGATAGCGTGATTAAAAAATATTATTATTATATAATAGTAATTTTTTTCTCTATTTTGTTTTTTTTTTTTGCCAAATCAATTTGACTGATTTAGATGGATTCCACACCGGACGATCTACCACATTCATTCATTTCTCAAAACACTCGTATTTGAGCTCGTCATGACCTCAAGCAGAAACCACGTACATCTGAACAAGGCTACAAGATATTGTAATTATATTACTATGCGTATATTTTTGTAGTTCGAAATACGTCATTATTAGCTTATTGACATGCGCTCGACGTGTTCATAAATGTCTATGCAAGTGCACGTGCATGAAAAAAAGTTAAAATCAAGTAGATCTATAAACATATGAAAATCTTGAAAATAGATGGTGTAAAATGCACTATTTTTTATACTTAAAATCTTTTTATTTTTCATAGTTATGCATCTCGAAGTCGAGATGATCAATCAAACGGGTTTTCAACATTCAAACTACCTTTTTCAATGGATTTTTGAGGGGCATCCGTAGTTTTACATTATATTGTTGCATCCTTATATAAACTTTTTCCTTCATTTTATCTCATATGGGTAGTGTGCCCTTGTCAAAGGTTGTACAAGATATTATCATGTACTATGTTTTGATTTCTTATTAAAACGGGTAGGGGTCCAATATCCCCACTCATTCACAAAAAAGAAAAAAGAAAAAAAGTGCATGTGCATGTATATTACCTTCATCAACAAAAATCTTTTACCCCCCAGACAAGGGTAAAGAGTAAATACTTCATATTGAAGACATTTATATACGTTGTAAATTTTAATCTATAAAATTATGGCGCAACTCAAAACCCATATGAAAAGTTGTCTTGACGCCGGGTCACTATCCATTTTATTATCTTGGCTTCGACATATATGGATTGTAGAGAAAAAAAAAAGATTATATAAGGGTGACGCCGTAATCAAATTAAAGAGAACCTTGAAAATTTAGTCGAAGAGAGTGTTTCGATACCCAAAATTTTTGAAATTGATCATCTCAACCTCAAGATGTATGGACATGAGAACAAATGGATTTCAAGTCTTGAAAATATTGCATCTTGTAATATGTTTTTTGGACCTTCAATTTTTTCAAGTAATTATAGACATGTTCATTCTACACTATTTTTCAAGCTTTAAATTTTATAATAAAAAATAAACTTTTTAGGCTATCACATAAATTTTCAATATTAAAATAATATCTTTCAACAGAAGGTGCAAGCTATTTTGATTGTTTAGGTCTCCGCCATATACAAACTACCCCCTTCAAAAAATAGTGCACATTATCTTGACCACCAATTTCAATAGGGAGAGTCTTTTGTCCACATCATGTAGACAGTGGAAGGGTGCACCTGATTTGGAAAGTCTTCTTATGGTTCAGATTGAATCACAAGACATCTAACATTTCAAATTCAATTGTGTATTTATTTTTTTATTTTTATTTAATTTTTATTTTTACCTAAAATTTAAGACAGATTCCTTTTTTTTATTATCTAAATCACAACAATTGAAAATAATAAAAAATTCATTTTTAATAAAATAATTAACCAAATTTGGCCCCAAAATTTTTATGGGTATTTTAGTTAATTTATTTCATTCAAAATATTCTTGTATGATTTTAAATCGTGCATAATTTAAAATAAAAATATATCCCAAATTTCAGGAAAAAATAAAAAAAAAATTACGGTTACCCCATTGAAATGTACTTTGTGATATCCAATCTCCCCAATACTTTTCATATCACACCTTTAACCTAATTACTTTTTTTTTTTTTTAAAGTAAAAGTTTACTTATTTATTTTTCTTTTCTTTTACTCGCCAAGCAAAAAAGTTGTAATTTTTATGGTTAAACTACACTTTTTACTACTACCTCATGTTTCCATCAAATCATGGCCACGCCGCTCGAAGCAAATATGGGAATCGGTCCAGCACAAAATTGGTCGAACCTACAGAATTCGCCCAAAAATGAGGACCGACATAGGCACAATAAAACAAGTGTCAGATTGGAAGTACATGGCCAAAAAAGTCGGTCCAGCAGAAACATGTGCCGGACTGGTCATCAAAAGCTAGAAGCCGATCCAATACATTTTCTGTCAGACTGTTTTTTTGCCATATTTTTCTGATCTGGCATATTTCTTGCCGAACCATAACAAAAACAATGAAAAAAATGATCCGGTAGTGAGGCTGCTGGAATTTGAAGCCGCTGCGCAACACTTTTGTGCCCTAAAGAGGATCCTGTGGTTCGGCTCAAATGCGTGCTGGACCGGACGGAACCGGATTTGGCCTTTAACTTCTAGCAGCCTCACCACTGGTCTGCCGCACTTTTGGGCGGGGCGGGGGAGTGGAGAGAGAAGAGTGTTTTAATGGGTAAGGGAGGATTCAAGGAGTAGTTTAGTCTAATTAGGTTAAGGGTGATATGAAAGGTATTGGGCGGTTGGATGTTTCTAAGTATATTTCAGGGATATCCATAATTTTTATTAAAAATAATTGTAAAATTATTTTCAGATAAAAATAATTATTAAATTACAAATAAAAATAAAAAACAAAATCAATTTTCGACGGTTAGACGCAACATGCGTCAATACGAACTTATTTTGAACTGTTAGATACGCTTGATCTGCGCTTTTTTTACTGTTCTCAAGACTTCAACTTCTATAGTAGAAATAAAATCAGATTTTTGAGTAATCGTAGTGAACTTGGAGATCTAAACACGCCACTGATCTTTTCTCTCTAGTGGGGTTAGATGTACTGTAAAAGTTTGAGAAGAATGTCACAAATCATTTGTTAAATTTTAGAATCAAACGCATGGTGATTCCACTGAAAAGCTAAGGTGAAAGCAGCCATACGAGTTCAAACAACAAAAGTCACATGCAACAATCGAATCAAATACAACAAGCGTACGTTACACAAAACAAAGCAAACAGTAAAAGTGTGACCAGACATCCTTTCATGTCTGTGTCATCATCTAGAGCTCTTTCTCTTCATCTCAAACCCATCACAATCTAACCCTTTCTCTCTCCACAAGAACCACATGCTCACCTGCAAAACAAGAACAATTATTCACTAGCACCAAGAATCAAAACAATCATTTGGGAAGGAGGAAAATAAACCATTATGCTCCACACCTTTTCCCTGAGAGTAAAAATGAAAAGAAAAATTGGTGAGAAATAAACATCTTATCTGTCAATAAATGATGAGAAATAAAACTTATCAATGTTTTCCTCCCTACTTGGGTACTAATGTTGAGATAGGAAATGTGGTTATGAGTTTAGATTTTTGTTAGAGAAGCTCAGAGAAATTTAGCAGTGCGGTTTCAAATATATTCGTCAAAAAATGAGGAACACGGTTTCTATGAGTGTACGGACTCACATGTAGAAAGGCAGGCCCCTTAATAAGTTATTTTTGAAATAGAATTTAATTCTAACCTCTAACACGTAGAGTAGTAATCCATAAAAAAAATAAAATTTAAAAATTTGAAATGATATTTTTTGGAGAAAATATTTGAACAATTGATTTTATTTTTCTTTGAAGGACTATTATTTATGGTGTAGATCTACACTTTCTTTGGTGGATGGAGTAGATCTCCAAGCCCGCATAGTAACATATGCAGGCACGGACGCACCAAATAATTCTCCCAAAAATGAGTTGTGTATGGCACATATCATGGCAAGAACTCCCCCGAGTCTTCGTTGAGGGTACATTTGGTACATGTGAAAATGTTTCGCGTAAAAAAAAAAAAACTGATGTAATTAGGTGTGGGAGTTTCTTTATACTAATTAGTCTCAATGTTTTTTTTTCACACCAATTAGTAACTAATTGATATGAGAAAAATCCTATACCTAATACATGATGGAGTGAGTTGTTTCGTGTAAAAATACTTTCAAATAAGTATTTTCACGCGTACGATGCCCTTAAGCCTCAGGTTTCTCATGAAAGTTCCTTTCCAAATCGTTTCTAGCAAAGGTTGACGAAGAAACTTGGGCCTGGGAAAGTAGGGATCGTTTGCAAGAGATAGTGAGAGGTAGGACTTTGAATTTGGCTCTTATGATTGCGGCTTGTTGCCTTGCACATATTTTCCTATTTAAAACTGGAGACATTTTCTTGGAGTAGTTTAGTGATAAGATCTGAACTTGGTACAGTGTTTTGCAATCAAACTAAACGATCAGGCAAGGGCAAGAATGACTAAAACATTGCAATAATGGATTATATTTGAGAGAGAGAGAGATCTTACCCTACTGCACTACAAAGCAGTACAAATCAGGCTACTAGTATTGGGGGCAAGTAAAACCAGGAGGAGGGCTCTTTCCACAAGTAATGAGCAGCTCCAATGCAATAGGCAAAAAAATGTTCAAATTGAGAAGCTTCAGTTTGATGGTGGTGCACAGGCACAAGGCTGCCTCCAGTTCCACCAGCCCTGCCAGCACGGGGCAGCACTCATTCACTGCCGGGTCGCCAAGCCCAACATGCACCAGACCACCCAACAAATCAACACAAGCCCCCAATTTTAAGGCATCAATGGGACATGTCGCAGAAGCTGGAGGTGGTGGGCATCCTGGCCCTCCAGTATAGGGTGGCGGTCCACCAATAATTGGAGTGACAACAGGTGGGAGTTCGATCGGTGGCTTTGTGATGGGGGGAACGGTAACGGGAGGGAGCTCGATCGGTGGCTTTACAATGGGAGGAACGGTAACGGGAGGGAGATTGATTGGTGGCTTTACAACGGGGGGAACGGTAACGGGAGGGAGATTGATGGGTGGCTTTACAACAGGGGGAACGGTAACCGGAGGTTTGATGACCGGGGGCTTAACGATGACCGGAGGGGGTTTGAAGGGGGGCTTTACAACAGGGGGAACGGTAACCGGAGGTTTGATGACCGGGGGCTTAACGATGACCGGAGGGGGTTTGAAGGGGGGCTTAACGATGACGGGTGGGTATGTTTTCGGGGGTTTGTATTTGGGTGGGTGGGGTTTAGGGTGTTTAGATTTGGGGGGCAAAGGCCTGGAGCAGTAGGGGCAGGCCAGGGTGGTGGTGGAGACGAAGAGCATCACTGTGAGGAAGAGGAAGAGAGCCGGAAGCTTTCTTGAAGAAGCCATGGCTTCCGAGTGCAGAGCCACAGTGGGGAGTGAGGGGGTCTTTATAGAGTTTATGAGTGGGGAAGAAGGGATGGATTGGTGTGAAAACTCTGGTTTTCTACAATTTACGCCAACCCCCCATATCCCGGCTTGCCAATAAATAAATATATTTTTGAAGTACAATTTGATTTTAAATTTTAAAGAATATATAAAATACAAAAAAATAAATAAATTTTAAAAATTAAAAATGAAGCGAAACTTGTGTGATACGAGAGAGAGAGACATGTGTGATACGTGAGAGAGAGAGAAGGTGTTGTTAGGGCTTGTGTTATAGAGAGGGTACGTGAATGGCGAATCTTAGAGAGAGAGAGAGAGAGGGGGACATGGGGCTAAGAAATGCACGTGAAGATGGGTAACGAGAGGGGAGCCACAAGTTGCGGGCATTTTACCTCGAAGAAAGATCACAGGTCCATATGACCATACATGCATACCACTTTAACAGTCTAACGCGGAATGCATGGCACGACGACATGACTGATTGATTCTTTGCAGACGAAAGTACCCCTTTCCTTTGTTTCCATTCACCAACTTACCCTTAATCTTATCAAAGGAAAATGGCAAAATTCTATTGCTGTCACCGTGTCGGGGACCTCCATGTGTGGTCACCATCAAATGTCCGGGTAGACGCGCATTGGCTCCGGAGGCCCTATGTACCAAGACCTGCCCATGGTTATCAACACCGGACCAAACTGGTGGTTTTAGTGTTCGGATTGCCCCTTAATTGGAATGATCCAAGGTAAACATTATGGATTGATTGAAAATTAATTAAAATTAATGTTGGATTGATTTTGATTTATTGGACTAGCTAAATAGAGTTTAGAAATTTTTATATATTTACATAATTATATATTTTATTTATTTATTTTTTTGAGATCTGATCCAACTTTTGACCCGACCAAAACCCTCACCTGTTCGGTAGGCAATCAAATAATACTTCCAAAGCGTCTTTACCTATGATTTAGAAAGGACTTTCTTTAATTTATTTTGTAAATGAGACCATCTGTATTTGGGTGCGGTTTATAGAAGGTATTTATTTAAGGAAAAAATTTATATCAGGTTGCAACCTTAAAATGTAGAATTACGGATGCACCTCAAAAATCTATAAAAAAATGTTGTTTAATGTTCAAAAACCCTCTATTTGATCATCTCGACATCGAGATGTATGACTATGAGAAAAAAAAAAACAGAAAAAGGATTTTGGTCCCCATAAATAGTGCATCTTATAACACATTATCTAGACTGTCCATTATTCAGATTTTCATATTTTTATAGATCTACTGGATTTTAACTATTTTTGGATTTTAAAATTTTATAATTAGATGTGAAAATAGATTTTGAGATAATTCTAAAAATATTTGACATGAAAATTATATGTTATGATAAAATTTGAAGGTGCGCCTTAATTGGATTGTTTAAGGTTGCAGCCTTATGGAAACTACATCCTTTCATTTAAACAATCAAGATAAGGTGTATTTTTAAATTTTGAGCAATTTTGCAGCCGAAAACTTTATTATGACTTAAAAATAAAATCTATCTTCCTTGCTAATTATGAAATTTAAAGTTAAAAAAATGGTTTAAATCTATAAACACTTAAAAATCTAGAAAATTGACTGTTTAGATAATTTATTATAAATATATTATTTTTAAGACTTGAAAATTTATTTATTATTATTTTTATATTTATATATCTTTAACTTGAGATGATCAACTAGAGGGTTTTACAGCGTATGAAAACTTTCTTTACGAGCTTTTTTGAGGTGCCCCTTACATCAAGGGTATGACGTCCAGACCTTTTGTATATAAACTTTATCCTGTGGGGAATACCCCCGACCATCTTTTGTGCAATCGGATGACCGTTTGCAGATCATAGATTGTGCATGAATCTGAGTAACAATTTTTCAAAATTTACGAAGTGACGCCCTTTGAGCTGCCCACTTTTGAAATCTAAGGTACTAGTGTTGTCCTATACCAAAAGAAATTTTAAGGTCGATCTATTGTTGAAATTAAAAAGGAAAAAGAAAAAGAAAAAGAGGTTGCACACCTAGCAGTATAAGTGTGATTACACATGAAAATAGTGTGCATTTATGAGATGAGAGGGTGAATAATTTTTTAGAGGTGTGGCATTTTCTCATGTGAACAATGAACATCTTTCAAAATCCATCTCTTAGCATCTTATCAATTAGGCTGGTGAAATCATGAAACCATTAAGCCAGCAAATCTATGTGCCTTCGAAAAGGTTTTGGAAGAGTATTACACCCCGTGAAGTAGGGTTTCTCTCTCTCTCTCTCTCTCTACAGATGAGGATTGAAGGTGTGGGGATTTTGAAGAAGGAATAGGACGTATGTGCTTTTGGGCTGGCCTTTTGGCCTCATTCTAGTCCGTGATCGTTGTCCACATCCATGACGTCGGCCCACACCCTTTATCAACCTTTCCACGGCATATTCATATATATTGTCGTGGTCATCTTTGAGGCTAAAAAATTAGAGCACCCCTATACATTTACCTGCGTCGCTTTGCTTTTCCCCATGCACACTATTCCTACCTTCACGTACTCTCTCTCTTCCTCCCTCTTTATGTTCTTGAAATGGCATGCTTTCACGTAGACTTCCCTTTCTTTGTGTCAAGTTCTCGCTCTTTTTCTCTCAAGCTTTCAAGTACCCCCTCTTAATAGTTTTGCATACAGAGTATTTGCCAGGGCTACTTTTGTGTATGGTCTCTCTCTAGCTCCATCAAAGGCCCGCAATAGCCAGGGCAGGGCCCAGCCCGCCGCGTTTGTCGTAGCCCTCAAAATGTAGGGCCTTGACCACAAAGTGTGCCCGGAGCACTAGGCTAGGGCCATTGCTCAATCTTGTGCTCTTTTTTCTTTTTAGTTTTTAGTTTTTTGAGGAATTTATATATAGATCTTAAAATTTCTCTTATAATACAAAATGCTCTATTTATAGATAGAAATTAGAAAGAAGGTCCATATAGATCCAAATTTTTTTATTTTTTATTTATTTCAAATTGTCCCTTGGTCCGAGAACATCCTCGAATTGAATTTTAATTAATTTTTTTTACCGTTTTTCATTAATGAACTACCCTAAAGCTTGAGGCATCGCCCTACTAACGATTTTTTTTTTTTAAAAAAAAATTAAATTTGGATTGAGGATTCTATCTTAAAACCAAACGGTCATTTTGGAAAAATAAATAAATAAAAAAATAGGTTGACCGACTTTCTTTGTAATTTCTGCCTATAAATGGATCATTTCATAATTTTGAAATTTTTTTTAAGATCCATACGTAAATTACTATTTTTTCCATTTATTTCTTGGAAAAAGTTTATATAATGTCGCAACCTAAAAATGTAGAACTACATATGCACCTCAAAAATCAATTGGAAAAGGTTGTTTTAATGTTGAAAAACCTTTTATTTGATCATCTCGACAACTAGATATATGAATATAAAAAAAAAAAATGAGTCCCACAAATAATGCATCTTGCAACACATTATCTAAACCGTTCATTTTTAAGATTTTCATATGTTTATAGATCATTTAAAATTTTATAATTAGGTGCAAAAACAGATTTTGAGATAATCCTAACAACCGTTTTACACCTAAATTATAAGTTAAGATAAAATTCGGAGATGCGCCTTATTTGGATCGTTTAAGGTTGCAATCTTATAGAAACCACACCCTTATTTCTCGCCCCCGCCAGGCATAAAGAAACGCTGGACATAAAGCAGGCCCGGCCCAATGCCACCTTCAGGCTCTCTCTCGCCCCCTTAGAGTCACACAAATTCACTCACACTGTCACAGCTGCCCTTGTCCTCTATCAACCCGTGGCTCTTTCATAACGACGACGAGCATTTATAATGTTTTTCGTTCTTGTCAGCGCGCCACATGGCTTAGTTGGCGCTCTCTTTCTGCACTTTCTTTCTCATGTCCTAACCGCAAACAGGTCAGGTCAGGTCAGCTGCTCAGCTCACTTTTGCTCATGGCTGAGCTTGTATGGATTAAGAAACATAAGGAAACTATGCTCGTGACTTCCACCCCACTGTGCATTAATTACCTATAAAGACTTTCATGTTGCTTCTTGTTTCATTCTCCTGAATAAAGTAAATAATAATAAACTGGTGCCCTCCTAAGGGGCCTATATGCGATGTTCCTGATCTGTTATCAAGCATCCAATGGTCCAAACTCGATCATGGATCCTTATCCTCAATGTATCAAGTGGATCGTTTTAGAGAGAGAGAGTTGAGGACGAATATTGCCCATACCTCCCCTGGTAAGGATAGGCTGTACATATTCCCTTCTAGACATGCGGGAGCTACCAATAATCTATGTATGAATTATGAAATAAAATAAGTTTCACGTGCAAAAGCCCCACAAGGGGGGTTGGGGGTGAATGAATGATGGTTAATTTGAAACATGTTGCTAGTTTTAATTTCAGACTCTGAAATCAAACAATATGTAACTTGCGCCATCGTATTAGTTTATAGTGAAGTTTGATGGTAGTTTAAATGGTAATATTTAATAATGTACTCAAGGTATAGGTGGTCAGGATGCTGAGTGCCACAACATGACATCTTGAGTTTCATTTTTATCAAGAGTAGAGAACCCTTGTTCTATTGATCGACCATTTTTTTTTTACCATGCTAATATGGGAAGATTGATTCAGGATGAGCATAATAATACTTTCTTTTTTTTTTGAAAAATATGAGCACAATAATACATTAACACCCTATTCAAGCCCTCCTTATCATTCTTGTTAGGCTACTGAGTTGAGTGCGCTCAAGCAAGGAGTACAACTCCTTACTCCCTCAGAGTGATTATTGAGGGTGATTCATCTAATGTCACAATGGCGCTTTTAAGAGATCTAGAAGTTGTGTTTCAACACATCTATAGAGAGAGAAATCCAAATCTAAATCAATTGTGATAAATTGATTACATGGAGTTATGCAAAACATGTGATGCATTTAATTTTGACTGTCATAGTTTTCAATTTCATGCCGCAAATTGATAGAGATATGGAAGAAAACACACTAAACATGCGGCATTTTTTAGTGTATAGAAATCAATATTTTTATAT